ATACAGGTGTTGGTTGGACACAGGTATTGGTTGTATACTAGTATTGGTTGTTTGCATGTATTGGTTGTACACAGGTATTTGTTGTATACAAGTATTGGTTGTACACAGGTATTGGTTGTATACAGGTATTGGTTGTACACAGGTATTGGTTGTACACAGGTGTTGGTTGGACACAGGTATTGGTTGTATACAGGTAATGGTTGTACACAAGTATTGGTTGTATTCAGGTATTGGTTGTACACAGGTATTGGTTGTATACAGGTGTTGGTTGTACACAGGTATTGGTTGTATGTATGTGTTGGTTGTAGACAGGTATTGGTTGTATGAAGGTGTTGGTTGTAAACAGGTGTTGGTTTTACATAGGTATTGGTTGTATGCAGGTATTGGTTGTACACAGATATTGGATGTATACAGGTATTGGTTGCATACAGGTATTGGTTGTACACATGTATAGGTTGTACAAAGGTATTGGTTGTATAAAGGTGTTGGTTGTACAAGGGTATTGGTTGTACACAGGTGTCTGTTGTATGCAGGTGTTGGTTGTATACAGGTATTGGTTGTTTACAGGTATTGGCTGTACACAGGTGTCTGTTGTATGCAGGTGTTGGTTGTATACATGTATTGGTTGTACACAGGTGTCTGTTGTATGCAGGTGTTGGTTGTATACATGTATTGGTTGTTTACAGGTATTGGATGTACACAGGTGTCTGTTGTATGCAAGTGTTGGTTGTATACAGGTGTTGGTTGTACACAGGTATTGGTTGTATGCAAGTATTGGTTGTTTGCAAGTATTGGTTGTACACAGGTACTGGTTGTACACAAGTATTGGTTGTACACAGGTATTGGTTGTATACAGGTATTGGTTGTACACACGTATTGGTTGTACACAGGCATTGGTTGTACACAGGTATTGCTTGTATACAGGTATTGGTTGTACACAGGTATTGGTTGTATTCAGGTATTGGTTGTACACAGGTATTGGTTGTATACAGGTATTGGTTGTACACAGGTATTGGTTCTTTACAGGTATTGGTTGTACACGGGTATTGGTTATATGCAGGTGTTGGTTGCATTCGGGTGTTGGTTGTACACAGGTATTGGTTGTATGCAAATATTGGTTGTTTGCAATTATTGGTTGTACACAGGTATTGGTTGTACACAAGTATTGGTTGTACACAGGTATTGGTTGTATACAGGTATTGGTTGTACACAGGTATTGGTTGTACACAGGTAGTGCTTGTATACAGGTATTGGTTGTACACAGGTATTGGTTGTATTCAGGTATTGGTTGTACACAGGTATTGGTTGTACACAGGTATTGGTTGTATACAGGTATTAGTTGTACACAGGTATTGGTTGTATACAGGTTTTGGTTGTGCACATGTATTGGTTGTACACGGGTATTGGTTGTATCCAGGTATTGGTTGTACACAGGTATTGGTTGTATTCAGGTATTGGTTATACACAGGTATTGGTTATACACATGTATTGGTTGTACACAGGTATTTTTTGTATGCAGGTATTTGTTGTATGCAGGTATTGGTTGTATACAGGTGTTGGTTCTATGCATGAATTCCTTGTACACATGTATTGGTTGTACACAGGTATTTGTTCTATAGAGGTATTGGTTGTAAAGATGTATTGGTGGTTTACATGTATTGGTTGCATACAGGTATTGGTTGTATGCATGTATTGCTTGTACACAGGTATTTTTTGTATGCAGGTATTTGTTGTATGCATGTATTGGTTGTATACAGGTATTGGTTGTAAACAGGTATTTGTTGTACACAGGTATCGGTTGTACACAGGTATTGGTTGTTTACAGGTATTGGTTGTACACGGGTATTGGTTGTATTCAGGTATTGGTTATACACAGGTATTGGTTGTACACGGGTATTGGTTGTACACAGGTATTTTTTGTATACAGGTATTGGTTGTACACAGGTATTTGTTGTACACAGGTATTCGTTGTACACAGGTATTGGTTGTTTACAGGTATTGGTTGTACAGGGGTATTGGTTGTATGCAGGTGTTGGTTGCATACAGGTGTTGGTTGCATACAGGTGTTGGATGTACACAGGTGTCTGTTGTATGCAGGTGTTGGTTGTATACAGGTATTGGTTGTATTCAGGTATTGGTTGTACACAGGTATTGGTTGTATGCAGGTATTGGTTGTACACAGGTATTGGTTCTTTACAGGTATTGGTTGTACACAGGTATTGGTTGTATGCAGGTGTTGGTTGCATACGGGTGTTGGTTGTACACAGGTAGTGCTTGTATACAGGTATTGGTTGTACACATGTATTGGTTGTCTTCAGGTATTGGTTGTACACAGGTATTGGTTGTACACAGGTATTGGTTGTATACAGGTATTAGTTGTACACAGGTATTGGTTGTATACAGGTTTTGGTTGTGCACATGTATTGGTTGTACACAGGTATTGGTTGTATCCAGGTATTGGTTGTACACAGGTATTGGTTGTATTCAGGTATTGGTTATACACAGGTATTGGTTGTACACAGGTATTGGTTGTACACAGGTATTGCTTGTATACAGGTATTGGTTGTACACAGGTATTGGTTGTACACAGGTATTGGTTGTATTCAGGTATTGGTTGTATAAAGGTGTTGGTTGTACACGGGTATTGGTTGTACACAGGTGTCTGTTGTATGCAGGTGTTGGTTGTATACAGGTATTGGTTGTTTACAGGTATTGGCTGTACACAGGTGTCTGTTGTATGGAGGTGTTGGTTGTATACAGGTGTTGGTTGTACACAGGTGTCTGTTGTATGAAGGTATTGGTTGTATACAGGTATTGGTTGTATACAGGTATTGGTTGTACACAGGTGATGGTTTTACAGAGGTATTTGTTGTATGCTGTTGTTGGTTGTACACAGGTATTGGTTGTATAAAGGTATTGGTTGTACACAGGTATTAATTGTATACAGGTATTGGTTGTACACAGGTGATGGTTTTACAGAAGTATTTGTTGTATGCTGGTGTTGGTTGTACACAGGTATTGGTTGTATAAAGGTATTGGTTGTACACAGGTATTTGTGAAGGATGTACATACACACCTGTGCGATACTTTCGGTATTTTTTACCAATCGTATTCCATTTATTTTGGGAGAGAGATAGAACATTAACACTACATCAGTTCACACACAAAAGGCGTACGAAGGAGAGAGAGGCGAGTACGGGGAGGAGATAGACGCGGTTACGGTAGCAGAGAGAGACGAGTTCGGCGAGGAGTGAGGGGCGGTAACGGGGAGGAACGAGATACGAGTACGGGTGGAGGGAGAGACGTACATGTATATCGTGAGGCGAGAGAGGCGGGAGGAGAGAGAGGTGGATACGGGGAAGAGAGAGGAGATTATGTGGAGGAGAGAGAGGACAGTACGGGGAGAAGAGAAAGGCGAGTACGAGGAGAAGAGAGAGGCGAGTACCGGGAGCAGAGAGGCGATTACGAGGAGACAGAGGCGAGTACGACGAGAAGACAGAAGCGAGTACGGGGAGGAGATAGAGGCGTTTACGGAGAGAAGAGAGAGGCGAATACGAGGAGGAGAGATGGGTGCGGTGAGGAGAGAGAGACGAGTGCGAGGAGGAGAGAGAGGCGCGTTGGGAGAGGAGAGAGAGACAAGTACAGGGAAGAGAGAAACGAGTGCGGGGAAGAGAGAGAGACGAGTACGGGGAGGAGAGAGAGGCAAGTGCGGGGAGGAGAGTGAAGCGATAATGGCGAGGAGGGAGAAGCGAGTACGGGGAGGAGAGAGAGACGAGTACGGGGAGGAGAGAGAGGCGTGTTTGGAGAGGAGAGAGAGACAAGTAGAGGGAAGAGAGAAACGAGTGCGGGGAAGAGAGAGAGACGAGTACGGGGAGGAGAGAGAGGCAAGTGCGGGGAGGAGAGTGAAGCGATAATGGCGAGGAGGGAGAAGCGAGTACGGGGAGGAGAGAGAGACGAGTACGGGGAGGAGAGAGAGGCAAGTGCGGGGAGGAGAGTGAAGCGATAATGGCGAGGAGGGAGAAGCGAGTACGGGGAGGAGAGAGAGACGAGTACGGGGAGGAGAGAGAGACGAGTACGGGGAGGAGAGAGAAGCGAGTACGGGGAGGAGAGAGGCGAGTACGGACATGAGAGAGTCAGGCGAGTACGGCGAGGCGAGGGGAGCGACAGAGGGGCGAGTACAGGGAGAAGAGAGAGGCTAGTACGAGGAGAAGAGGGAAATGTGTACGGGAAGAAGAGAGAGGTGAGTACTGGGAGAAGAGAGTGACGGGTACGGGGAGGAGAGAGATGGTATTACGAGGAGGAGAGAGAGGCGGTTACGGGAAGAAGAAAAGAGAGGCAAGTACGGAGAGGAGAGAGACGGGAACAGGAGGAGAGACAGGCGAGTACGGTGAGGAGAGAGAGAGGCGGGTACAGGGAAGAGAGAGAGAGAGAAGGACACGAGCATGAGAGAGAGGGGAGTACGTGAGGAGCGAATGGCAGGTGCGAGCATGAGAGACTACGACTACGGGGAGGAGAGAGAATCAGGTAAAGGTGGTTGCCATTTTATCGAAGAAAAATACCTTGCCCCAAAACTGTTGAAGGCTGTTGAAAAACAAGAACCTGCCTGACAGAATAATATTATTGTTGCAAGGAGTGTATCTAAACAAAAGGTCAGGCTGATAGTCTTAAATAACAAAAATATCTGGTTTTGTAGCTGATAAGAATACAAAATCCAAGGTGGGATAACACATCACCAATCTTTTCAATTTGTGTGGAATTTTACCACTGCTATCTCATCATAAGGATGTGCACCGGCTCATTTTCAGATATCAAATTGCTTGGTTGAAAATACTGGTATTACACTGCAATTAATTTTCAATCAGAAAACGAAAAGAGAACAAAATTTACTAGTTTGTGATTACTTTTAATAATAGCTAAAGACCAGGTATTTTTTTTAAAACAGCCGCATACATGACAGAAAGAGGACAGGATGCATAAATTATCTTTTTATATGACTTTATTTGATTTTTTACAACAGAAGTGTTCATTTTGACCAAAATATCCCAGAATCTGCAACCAAAATATCTGACCACAACCATCATATTCTATTACATTGGATGCAAAAACATTAAGTGACGTCAATTTGTTTTCTTTTGCTATGGAGAGGGGTGTGTCGGCAGTAGAGAGTCTGGCCACTCCTCTAGCAGTTGTAACACAACAATAATACCTTCACATTCTGCTTATTTGATCAAAAACGCACCTTTGTGACAGAGTTCAGCGCCATAATGCACCACAAGCCCCGCCTTTCTATTTGGAGCCAATCAGGAATCAGTAGTCCGTTAGCGGGTGTGGTTTTAAGGTTTCAGCATGCGAGTTAGGGCATTTTAAACCGCGAATTTTTCAAAGTTAGAGGAAAGAAATATTTACAGAAAAATGTCCTTCCTTCGGGGACATATACTGATTTTGATATTTTAACAGTGTGCACAAAGAGGTTACGCTCATTAAAATGCTTCGGTATGTCGGCAATTGGTTCATATCCGCAGTAGGTTCCCTTCATCATGTAAAGATTCTCCAACTTTTCTATTCCACGGGGAACTGTTGGAAATATCACCTCAATATATAAGTCAAACCTGGAGAAGTGTTCCATATAGTAGAGGTAGTCATCTTTGTATTTTTCAGGAACATAACAAATGTCCGACGAACCAATATAGAATCCATCTTTCTCCCTTGAGTTGTTAGAAAGCATATCTGTGAAACTGTTATATCTGTGAATATCTACAATTTTCAAAGCTTTTAGAGCAGCCTGGTATGCTTGTGATCCTACTTTGGGATGGTGCACCCGGTTGCCATGTTCCTTCCTAGACTGTCGTACAACTCTTACGTGATAAACCCAGAGTTTGTTTAATGGAAACATGTGAATGTTCCACACATTAAGCAAGACATCATCGCCCATGTACAAGTATCCATCAACACGGAACTGCATTTTCATGGCTTCTATCAAACAGAGCTGACCAAGCCAACCATTGGCATGGTCGACCTCTATGAAGGTCAAGGGCTTGAGAAGGAGCTTAGCGTGAGTGTCAAATTGATCTTTGTTGGCTTCACAATAAATGATGTGAGGAAAGTGCATGCTGTACATTGTCTCCAGAAACTGGAGATTCTCATAGTGGGGAAAGTTGAACACTACAATTAACAAAATATTTGGATATGTAATGATATCTGTCAGTTTAGATGCTATAAACGATTCACCGCTGCAATAGGAAGCTATTTGAGCAGCATGCGACACAACCGCAGGTGACTGCGTAGCTTGGGAATATATCTGGGGTGGTGTTTGCCCAGCCGCCCAGAATTTGACATTGATCTGTTGATCCGTCATACGAGTTTGTGTTTGCAATTTCTCTACTGTTATATATTGAGCAGCGTATTTTAGAGAACCAAACGGAATTCTTTTTGGTTCCTTGTAGCCAAGTGCCACAAGGTCCTTGATCCAAAGAGATGTCAGACTTGCATCCCTTTCCTTCCAAAAGTTCTCATGTACCATATCAGTCGATAATTTAGTCATACAAGCAAAAAATGTTCTATTTGCTCCACATTTCCATTTGGTAAGGAAATCAACAAGGCGTTCTGTCTGGAAATAGAGATCCTTCTCTTCCTGTGCATCACTGAGGTAGGAATGAGAGTTCCTCCTCTGGACAGCATTTGGTGGGAAGAACCCTACATTTCCTCCCATCTCCCACAAGAGTCTCTGAGCCCAGTAGCCTCTCCAAATATCACACACTCGGAATGTCGTGGTTGATGGAATTAGGAGTGCCCATAATGCATCATACAAGAAAAGGGTATTCTGGGAATTAAAGGGAGCAAAAACGCCAGCTGGAACAATTGCTGGTGGAGCTCTTCCATCAAAGGTCACATTCAGCTGAGAACGGGTTTGTTTCCGGGTCAGTCTGAAAATGGCATCCATATCTGGATCTCCGTTGACCAAACCCTGCTGAATAGATGGCGTTTTCCAGTGATTTAGTAGATATTCTGTTGTTGGTGATTCTCCTACAGAACCAAGCGGATATCCTCTTGGCCACAATGTCGGCTGTCCAAAATGGCGGTAGGGATTAAAGAGTTTTTCCCCTCTGTACAAGATTCCCCACATTGTTGGATCTAGTTTGAAAGTTTTCAGTAGATCAAGGGGACGATTGTCATCATCAGTTTCATAAATTACCTTTGCGCCATGAGCTATTGCAAACAGATATCCCATCGTCTTTCTTGCATAGCTCTCCTCAGGCAGAAGTGACTCTGTGTCAAAGCCAAGCCCACGCTGATCCTCTAAACTTAAAAATACACAGTTTTGGTTCCTGAAACAGAGGAACGTTGAGAAGAATCATAAGGATACATTCATTGTTTCATTGTTACCTTCAAAGAAATCGGGAAGCGTTTATTCATCATTGAATGTGGCAATTTTAGAATTTTAGCCCCTTAATTCGAGCGCCAAGCAGGGTAACAACAAGTACCATACTTTAATGTCTTTTTGGTATGACGCGGCGGGGATCGAGCCCACGACCTTTCACTCTACGGGTGAACGCTCTACCGCTAAACAAACGAAGGCGGTCTGAAAGAAAAAGCCTCTGACAAGAAATAGCCTCCATTGCCAGCATCGGTTAGATTTGAAATATTGTAACATAACCAGAGGTGCTTTCAGACCACAACAATGTCCCTATGTTGCTGCAGGGTTTATAAGCCAACTACAGGTGGCTGCTTCTGGATATAAATGACACTTTGGCTTCCTAAATGACACCTGAAGTGTAAAGGTTCAGTTGACACCATGGGCAGTATCCCTGTTAGTTACGGATCTGCTGAAGGGGAAACTGCTGCCACTCCTAATGCAAAGCTGCTTCCAATCCACACTGATTCTGTACATGATGCCCAAGGACCCAGAGGATCCAGATCAAGACTCATGGTACGTCAAGGCAGAACCATCATAGCCTTGTTCTGGACGTAGGCTGACACTGCCCGGATGTGGTCTGGCGTCATCATTCATGTGTGTTTGTTTTTTGTTGTTTAACGCCGCACTCAGCAATATTCCAGCTATATGACGGAGGTCTGTAAATAATCGAGTCTGGACCAGACAATCCAGTGATGACATCATGAGCATCGATCCACGCAATTGGGATACGATGCCGTGCATCAACCAAGTCAGACCACCCGATCCCGTTGGTCGCTCCTTACGATGAGCATAGTTGCTTTTTACGCCAGCATGGGTTGCTGAAGACCCATTTTTATTCCGGATCTTCAAGGGTCTTATCATTCATGTACTGAGATTTTGTGCCAGGGAGGTGGTTGTCGAAACGGAGGTTTAATTAATTTTAACTCGTTTAAAGATATTTAAGATGTACTGACTACATGTGAGGGTATCCACCTTGAGTGAGTGAGTGAGTTGGGTTTAACGCCGCTTTTAACAGTATTCCAGTTATATCACGACGTGGTGTCAGCTTAATGTGGGAGGAAAGCCCGAATTGATGCAGGTCTCAGACGTTTAGCACTTTGGTGACACCCACGAGAACGGGTATGGTGCTGACATACTAGAAACATAATCGGGGCGAACCGGGATTCCAACCCACAATCTGGCGTACCCAAGGGACGCAACTCTGCACATCGAATCGCAGCGCCTAAGACGACTGGGCCACCCGTGCCCCCTCATGTCCACCTTGAAACCATGTGAGATACACCCACAATCATTACCGAACCACCCCCAACAGTTGGCCTGATGTTCCTAGGTGTATACGCCATATTCCTGTGAATCCAAACCCCCAGTCGTTCATCTGTGACAAGGATCAGGAACCCAACTTCATCTGATCAATAAAATTTTCCTCAAGCGTCTTAGATCCCAAACCTGTTACGATACACAGCATGCCAATTGAGTAGCTATTGTTTACTGTATGGCAAAGGACTCTGATACCTTTCTGTGTACCATGTTCTCAGGGAAGACAGCGGGTTTAAACATCCAGAGTTGAATGTCTAAACATCCGGCACAATGGGGAACACATGTTGTTCACATGTGAACGGTGACATCCTCAGAGTGGGGCATGTTCAATTTTGCAAATACCTTTGACAGAGACTGGCCACAGCATGGAGAGTTTCTGGACAAATGGGTTTCCAGAATTAAAGTGGGACGTGTGAGCTGCGTCATTCCTGTCAGCGGGTTTAAACATCCAGATTTGTATGCCTAAACATCCGGCATTATGGGGAATACATGCGTGTCATGTTCTCACATATGAACGGTGACATCCTCAGAGTGGAGCGTCATTCCTGTCATAATCAGTATTTCTATAACATGTGAAATCAATGGTGACATGTTATAATTCATGTTCTCAGGGGGTGAGTTACATTTTCCCAGGTGTATATCACTGAAATACAGATAGACTCTGACGTTACCTCCAGTCTGCTGGCGTCTTGGTGTCTCCGACGACAACAACCTTCCATCCGGGTATGTTTGCCAGGAACTTGATGTCTGGAGTAGGGTAGGAGATGGTTGTCACCACTATCCATCGATCTGACTGAACAGTGCTGAACTTGTCTATTTGCCTTAAAATAGATTGTCGGTACATATATAATATAAATAAAATATAATATGATGGTAATTTATTCATATTCAGAAACACACTACGGACACCCTGATGGCTATGTTCCCAAATACCGTTTTCGACGTAATAAGCGCCCAGGGCGCTCTCAAAATTAGAAATAGGGGGCTCTTTTTAGAATATTATTTTGTCGAAATAAACCAGAGTTGAAAGATAAATGTCGTTGTTTCAGCTGACAGCCTGAAATGTTTATATAGGAGAGATATATTTTTCCAGAATTTAATTGCCCATAATTAAGGGTGCATATAACACACGAGTGCGTATTATTAGCGAATAAAGAAGTATTGTGTACATTGATCAATCGGAAAGGGTGCTAATTGGGATTGTTAACGAGCCAATATATTAGCAAATATCGCCGTGGTTGCTTATTAGAGCGGAGCGCTTATTACGTCGAATACGGTACTAAACCACGAAAGAAAGATGTTCCGGACTATGTAACAGTAGCGGAATGTGACAACAACATCTATCTTGAGACCACCATTAGTGTGTGAACAGAGGTTAATTGTGAAGCGGCAACCGAGTGACCTGAATGGGTTTTACAAGATGGTAACTGGCCAATCAGATAGCTACATTCTTATTCAATAATCATACTATATTAAGCATCATCTCAAATTACATCACATGCCATTTGCAATCCATATGATTACCAAAAACGGAATATGGTTAAAATGTTGGGTATCATGGTGTCTACTTCAGGGCCATTAGTCATGCAGTTGCAACCATCGTAGACGTCATCAGCATTTACAAACCCATCAATAATGTACTGTAGCACCAAATTGCAAATATCGCAACACATGTCAGGCCCATACAAAATGGTACAGTAGCATAAATGGGCGATCTTATTTGTTCCAAAGGGAAATAACTCTCCCTTTGAAATGATCTAAGCGACGGTCCAACCTGTCGCTTCCGATCTTGTTTTTGGATCTATGCGCGCTGCGACAAACGTGTAGAGACGGAGCCAAGCTTAAGCTTTACCCTGTTGCACCTTCATTCAAAAATAGCCGTTTACAAGTAAATATTTTTAACTGGCACATATTTTGTAGTGATCATTTGTTTAGAATATCAACATTTGTTGAGTCTTCAACTAAAAGACGAATTGTCACGATAGAAGATAGCTGGGAAATCGCCATGAAAAACGGTATATTGCCACGGTATTTTCAAGGTCAGAAAACGGCGAGGCATTCTGTCAGTCTGGGCTAACATATTGCATCGATGAAATATTTAGGGCTTCGTGCCTGCAAGGCAGAAGACCTATTGTACTTGATAGGATTATTATTTGTTATTCCGCCAGAATCGCCAGTGGCCAGAATCGCTCCAAACCAACAGCAACATGGACACTAATGTGAAGCAGATACCAGCAAAATCCCAAGGCCATAGGCCCAATGGCTAAGGGCAGATAACTCATCAAAGTTTCAAGTTCAGCAGCAATAATCTTCGAAACCAACTGTCCAATGACTTCCAGATTTGCCATGCGGCAGGGCAATCAGATGCCAATCATGTTGTACTGCAGAACCATGGTAGCTACAACGCACCGTTTGGCAGCCATATTGGATTGAAGCATTTCGACATGCATTTTAGCATCTAAGCAATGCGACGTGTCCCTGGGGTCCTGACAAACTCAGAACACCAATCCGTTTGACTCTAGTGCCAAGGACAACAAAGTGACAGCGTGTTGAAAAGGGAATTCTTTGGCCCCTGTCATAAACTTGACATAGAGCAGAACTCTAAACACTAATATCTCGGCTAATTCTGAGTCAATTTCGCCTAGATTTCGTGTGTGTTTGTAGACTGGACTTGTCCATGGTTATGCCTAATTGTCGCCACATCGCATTGAAGGCTACGAAGAGACAAAATGAACCAGAATTTATCTATAACAACATATTTTAACTTATTGTACCTCGCCAGATCATCCAATAACTGTCAGACTAGGCACTCTTCAGTATTTAAATATGCAGTTCGATATTGAAATGCATTCACAAACTCCTAAGTTCTACATACACCAAACTGTGATCTGACTGAAAATGTCAATTTGTGGGGTAAAGAATGAGATATTAAGACACTTCAAACTTGTTCACTAAAGACACTGAAAGAAGCGTAGAGTATATATTGTTGGTAAACCTGTGATATAGGTTTGTGGATTTCATAAACAACTACTGTGTATAATTTTCAGGGAACTGCGATTATGTTTATCCGCTGTTGACTACCGAGATCAGTTGTCTGTGTTAGTGAGATACAGTGTACATACATGTACTGCTGATGACCAACGCAAGAAGAAACGGACTATAGAAATCTATTTTAGAAGTAGTGAAAGAAGCTGCAGTAAAATTTCGGAATAAGCCTCGTTCACAACAGCATTTCAATCTACTGAGACTACTGATGAACGTGCTCGCAACGGCCTTCTCCAATAGGCTGGTTATTTCTTGAATTAGTACCGACCCGTGATGTCTGTGGTGTGATGTTGTGCCCTGTTTCCTGGTGAACTGCAACTGTGTTCTATGGCTATGGTTGACGGATTTCAGAGAAACTTCTTGCATAACGCCACTTGGGAACGTCTGCAGAAACCGACTATGGTAATCACGTGTCAACATGCTGATTCGGTTATGTCTGAAAGTTGTATTCTCGGCACTAATGCAAGGTCGTGCACTGACCCCATTTGCCAATACACACCAATAAGATATTGTGTATCTGCTTCCCTAATAGCAATGGGAATGTGTAAATGGGGTCCACAGCTGCATCAGTCACGGTAACGGTATAGCGAGACTGCGATAGCGCTATAGCGCGGAAACTGGTACTGTATTGTTTCCCATGTCGTGTATTGACTGTGTGGCCGCATCGTGCTCTCGACCCATACAAACTGTGACTATATAGTGCAAAGTCTTTGAATTGCAGTTTGAAATGATGCACATGAGGAAGATAATTAATGGATGTTAACTAATTCAAATTTAGAGATAACAAATTCTGTATTTACTTTAAAGGCGACGTTTCTGTATATATCTGTATACCGTTGTCAATCAAGGCTGAAGAATGAACAGTTATCAGCGTCAGTAAGGTACAGTGTACATACTGCGGGTGGACAAGGCAAGCAGAAACGGACTATAGAAATATATTTCACGCTCGTATCTTCAACGGTTCTGCATAGAAAACATTGCAACTTGTATGACTAAACAACCTCGTATTTGTGTTTTTGGATGCATGTGGAAACTAAAGCGGCTTGGCAGTTCTATTTCATTTCAACTATAGAAACATGGGCGCGGAACATGGAGGAACGGACGATAGAAATCACGGGCGCGCATTTTGTTTGATTTGGCTATCGCTGAACGTGGTATTCTCGTCAAGGCGAATGTCTCGCGCGATATTTTACAGACACTCCATCCAAGTTTAACCTTTACTTTAAAATGAAAATGAAAATCTATCGTTTCTAGATATGATGGTTGAAATTTCAAACAATAACATTGAAACAGATGTAAATACGAACTAACATATTCCAAACGATACCTCAATTACAATTCCTGTCACCCCCGTCATACTAAAAACAGTATCCCTTACTCATAGGCACATATAATCTGTGTGCTAGTATCTAATTTAGATCGTGCACAATGTAGACTCGATGAACTGAGGTAGAAACTACCCTAGAAAAATAGTAGAAGACGCAATAAACAATATTTGGAAATGTTCAGGAGACATGGTATTTTTTAAGTAAGTGTAAAGACCATAAATGTCACTGAATAAACTTATCAATATTGATATTGTGATATTGCTGGAATATTGCTAAAAGCGGCGTAAAACCATACTCACTCACTCACTCACTAGGGTTTCTATCTCAAAAGGAAAACAAGAATGCAAAACAGAGCAAAAGTGTACCTTACCTAATTGTGGTTCTTGCCCTTATGGTTAACAATGTTGTTCTTTTACATTCAAAGACGGAAAAACTGTCTTATGTCTGTAAAAATATAAATTGTGCTTCGAAAAACTTGATTTATGTCCCCCGAAACACTGAGGGTCATGCTGTGGTTATGTTTTGACTGTAGAACCCCATAGCAACTCTCACCTAGGACACATACATCTTTGACAGGCCCTTACCACTGATCTATAGTTCGTATACATGCGTGCCTTTACAAATAATTGAAGAAGCAATAACATTCAAACTAAAACAACTGATTTTTAATGTTACTTTTATGTCAACATTCAAGTTACATCTGACATATATTTTCTTTTAATTCTGACAGTATTTATTTAGGAAATAAATATGCTGAATGGAAATCTACCATGTATTTTTCAAGCAATCAGTTGCTCAGAAATGGTTCAGAAACATCCATTACAGTTATCATCAAAACACACCGGACACTGCATCATAGCAGCTGGCGTTAGAGGCAGTCTAAAACCATCCTAATTTGTAATTTCAGATGGCCTCATTTCCACTGCAGATTACAGTGCACATGCTGCAGTCCTCACATTTCGCCATCACTCAATAAGACCAGTTGCGTGTAACATTAACGTCTGCAGCATTGGCTATTTAAAAAAGGATTTTGCAACATAAAACATGATTCATCACGATAGTGTCAACACATGTCCTGTGTGAACGTCTTCTCGGATTGAAACAGTCACTTATCCTTTCACAAGTCAGTATCAGTGATACACAGCAGTGATACAAGCATCATGCAACAGATCAGTTGAAATAGAAGGTGAAGGAAGAGGGGTAATGTCCTGTTGTGGAATGATTTTGGTTGGTTTGTTGCTTAACTCCTTACAGTGGCATTTAGAAGTTGGTGTGATGAAGTGAGACAAGTTCTATGGATGTATAACTTCTTTATTACAATTAGTGCGACGTTTCAGTGTAAATCATATCCTAACACCTTTATCAAGCAAGTGTGAAGTGATGTCACGTCCATGGGTCTAAAGGAACTCGAGGACGTGCACACGTGAGTGCGGACAATTTCGTTAGGATAACCCACTCATGCCAAATTGTCACCAATAACTGTCAATTTCTAAGTCAATAAATATCCGATTCTGCCATTTTCTAATACACTGCTTTATTCTGTGACATGATGTATCCAAAGAGTCAAAATTCGACGTGAAACATATGGCATACATTCGTATTGTTGCGTTGGTAAATACTATCGGTATGGCTTACGAAGCAGGTTGAAGCTGAAACCATACAAAACAAGAAACTTACTTGCATGTCCTCAGGTGCGAAACACAGGCTGTCACACCACTAAGTCGCTCCGTAATAATTCAACATACGGTACATACATACACACATCACACAAGACCGCCTCCGTGGTCTAGTGGTAGAGCGTCCGCCCGGAGAGCGGAAGGTCCGGGGTTCGATCCCCGACCGCGTCATACCAAAAGACGTTAAAAGATGGTACTTGTTGTTACCCTGTCTGGCGCTCGGCATTAAGGGGCTAAAACAAGGACTGGTCGGCTCGGAGTCAGTATACTGTGTCTGAGTGGGGTATTCATGTTTAACTGCGGCATGGTATCTCAGTGAGCTAGCACTATAAATCGGCATCAGTCCGGACTAGTACAAGCAGCCACACACACACGTACATTCACGTCGCTATATAAGTGCAGTAATCTTGGACGCGACGTTAAACCCGATTTTACCTCACCTCGAGCTCACCACACATCACACAACCATGGTAACTCTGAAATATTTCTGACTTCAAAGGAACGTTATATTAAATTACACTTTCATAGATACATATATATATACCTTGCATGCATATGCAATGTCAGAATCATAGCGTCCCAAACAGCCGGACATCAGTTTACAACTCATAGCGATGCATACTTTGAAATTTCACGTCAAACCGCATGCTTTTTCTCACATACCATTCACTTGCAGTTACCATTCCTGTCCAAACCAAGCCATTCAACCGCATACCGCTAAATAAAAACAAAAGTGACTTTCTGTCATCTACACTGACTATTAAAGGGCTCCTTCGATGTGTCTCCCCTCACCGATATGCTCCCACCACCGAATGCAGAAGGCTACAAAACAAGCGTCAGTGCACAAAGGTCCATCTGACATTGATAAACACGCTGACGGCCATCAATCACTACTGTCAAGATGAAACCTGGACTCAAACGTTATGGTCGGATGTGATGCTTTAATCGGATGTAAGCTAGGTATGCTGCTTTTGTCAAAATGACAGTTCGGAGCCGATTTTGCAGTAAACAGTCAAATATTATCATCTTTCCGACACGATCTGACCCGTGGAAGACTAAAAGCCCTGTTTACTCCAACACGTTGCCAATGAGTTGATACCGACCCCATTGACTATATGCTGCTAAGATGAACTTCAAAAAGCTTGAGATTAATTAATATCTCTTGTGAAATATGTTTCTAGTTTGCCCGAGGCATTCACATAAATTTCAAATTGAAGCAAGTGTTATGTTCTGTTGATGACAACAGATGTAACTTGAAGATGATCAATAAAAAACAACCAAACAGTACCAGCTGAGCAAAAGGGCAATGCTATGTCTGATGACCAGGCCACAGTAGAGTGAATGAGTGAGTTGGGTTTAACGCCGCTTTTAACAGTATTCCAGTTATATCACGGCGTGTCAGCTTAATGTGGGAGGAAAGCCCGAAGTGATGTAGGTCTCAGACGTTTACCACTTCGGTGAAACCCACGAGCACGGTTATGGTGCTGACAAACCTAGAAACATAATCAGGGCGAACAGGGATTCGAACCCACAATCATAGGTTTCTGGCGTGCCCAAGGGACGAGGCCACAGTGGAAGTTTGTGATGTAAATAGTAAAAAATAAAAGTAAAATGTTTTCCTCAAGTAAACAATATTACATGCCCTTGGCAAATTGAATGCCACTGTGTTCGTGTTGTCGAAATATAAACGAATGAATGTAACAGAATTAGTCCCTGTCTACAATCTACCGATCAAATGCCTAAATGGACTCAAGAGTGACATTTTTACATGTGTAAATGTCGGACTGACTGACTGATATAGAAGATTTAACGTGCGCTTTCCGACTGTAGCGTATTTCGCACACGGGCCTGGCCAGACCATTTAGTGTATTCCGAAAAGGGTGAAAGTGGTGTGTGCAACCCAAGAAGGGGCTTTTAGGGGTTGCTTAATTATATTGAATTTTTGGAATTTTTAAATTTGGAATAAATGGAATGTCGGAGATATGTGCAGCTTTATATTTCAACCCTGGGGTAATAGTAAGGATTCCCTGGTTTACCTTGAGCTGAAGTTCCTGTTATCAATGGTAATCTTGCTCCTTTGCAATCCTCCAGGCCAAGCAATGTAAGCAAACAACAGACACACACAAACGGCCAACGTGTTCAAGAATCCTAAAACACGCCAGGACACAAATCGCATCTTGTTTGTTGATCCACTTCTCCACTCAGGATCTTTTCCGAACTAAACAGATCATATGGTTATCACTTACGGCTAAAAGAGTATTTGAGGTAGGAAACGACCGCACTGAGTGGGCGGAGCTTGTACGAATGATCTGACACGCGACTCTACAGCCTCAATTGATTTTCTGTACATAAGTGAGTTTTACGGCACAGCCAATCAAAGACCAACGCTGTCCACTGTGACGACATTTAAGCCCAATGTGAAACTTTCCTGGTGATTCGTCACAACAGACAGACAGAAATAGTTTATTAAAGTGTCACAAGTTAAACACACTTTGCTGAAACATTTCACACCTCAATGAAATATGTTTAACATCCAGCCACATCTTGGCTTACGAGACACTACTTATTTATAACATTATGTACGATGAAATTATTATACTATTCACAATGATATACTCGTTATAAAATGATGTAAAACAATACACAATGCAAGTATCATATGAATAATTATCATCTACAAACATGTTTCTTATGGTAGAAGCAATACATTTGATATGCTTAGGATTTTTTTCAGATAACAATTTAATGTAAAATATTTACGTTCTGTAGAATTGGAAGAAGATAAAATAATGGCGTGTCTTAGGTCCTTATAGAAATTACACTCTGAAAGGAGATGAACTTCTGTTTCCACTGTGTTACAAAAATAACAAGTTCTGTGCTCTAAAGGGGTGTCTATTGCGCCAACCAGCCTCTGCATGAAGGGAGATGCTTCCCTAGCGTTGTCTAGAGAGATATTTCCAGGATACAATGCTTTGCAAGAAAATGCCCGGGACAAAGATATTTTTTTTAAAAGACGGTAGTTACGTAGCTTATTTCTATGCTGAGGACTCGATGTATCGTTCCTGAAATGTTCAAACCAATTATATTTATCTATTACTTTACTAGATCACAGGGTTGCCGATATCATAAAGGATTTATCTCGCACGAAAACGACAGCCTCGCCCCCTAGGGGTTGGGATATTGTCCTGGGTTTTTTAAAGGAACGGGGCTTAAATAGGGAGATGATAGGTGAAAGGTGACGTTGGCGAGAGTTAGAGAGGTAGTACATGCACGAAGACACTGAACGTGTACAAATTTACACCCGAAGTCCCAAGAAGAAAGGATAGAAATATAAGACATCATTACTCTGGGTTTGGGGGTGGGGGGCGGGACCCCTCCGGGTAGAAATCAGCCAATGAGAGGACAGCAATTAAAAAAACGGGCAAAAGTGCATGTTATACTACTCACTCACTCACTCATGTTGAGAGGATGAGTAGCCTTGCTGTGATTCTAAACATTTTATAACAATTTAGCCAACTTTGATATATAAACAACAAATAGATTTCAGTTTGATGTCATCTTGATATAGTTGAACCGTACTTATTTTCTGGCTGCTATAAAACAATCAAAGATTGTTTTAAGCTGGCATTAATATTCTTATATACTTTGCATGTATGTGCTCAGTATTCTTTCTATTCCACCAAGCGGTTGGTCCTACAAGAAATTTTTCCTCAAGAGTGAGTGAGTGAGTGAGTTTGGTTTAACGCCGCTTTTAACAGTATTCCAGTTATATCGCGGCGTGTCAGCTTAATGTGGGAGGAGGCCCGAAGTGATGCAGGTATGGTGTTCCTCAAGAATACTGTACATCACGAAATAATGAGTCACCAAATCAGTGCGAGTGGCGACCCCTGGCCTAAAATGCGTTATCAGTGGCTCTACCTTTGAACTGTAAAAACTAATCAGCAAACGATAACACCAAGACTGTAGACTTAGAATTCCATGATTGAGTATTGGCTGATAGAACTTCGATTGAATGAGATCATTTGCTATTTCGACAAACTTGACTTCATCTGTTGATCTTACTTCCATGAATTAAAATGCACTATCTCGTCATCTTTTTCATTTTGGTGCCAAGTTACTATTTGCCACGGTGTCAGTGTTAGACGCTGAGGCGTTTTCATGTTTCCACTGAACAAAGAGGACCGCACCATTCCTTCATTTTTAAAGACTGCCTGTCATGTGGGGTCTCTTCAGGCACAGTCGCAGTCTCAATCTCTTCACGTCAGTATGCGTAACGTCACAAGCATGTACATGTAGAGTGAGTGCGTGAGTATGGGTTTACGCCGCTTTTAGCAATATTCAAGCAATATCACGGCGGGGGTCACCAGAAATGGGCTTCACACATTGTACCCATGTCGGGAATCGAACCCGGGTCTTCGGCGTGACGAGCGAACACTTTAACCACTAGGCTACCCGACCGCCCCTGTACATGTAGAAACATGAAGCAAAGATTGATAGTTTTGTGTCAGACACTCTCCAAATAACGGTGATAGTATAACAGTGCGAAAATCATTATATTTTTCTTCAAGTTTTATCAAAATCAAATTTCACATTCCCAAGCCAGTAAACCCTACATAGTTTACAGGACTTGTATCATGTTACGTAACCCTTGGAGATGCAAGCTGTCGAAACCAGTCAAACCAGCTGGCAGATGCTAATCAACTAGCTCAATTGAAATTCTAGACCCAGCTGATCAGTTTCCGACACAACCGACCAGGCTATAAACATTTAACTAAGCATAATTTGTGGGAAGCCATTGTTATTAATCCTAAAATGGACAGATGGGTAGTGACATGCTTTCAAACGTGGACTGGAGGTCTCGGGTATGAATGCAGGGGTATCTTGGCATTGAGTCATTCCTGCATTTCGCCTGATAACCTCTCTGTCTGTTTTTGAAGGTTAGTTACTTTTACTTATTACTTTGCCATTTTTGTTAAACTTGCTGTAAATAATTCTAACTTTGTTACTCTGCTGGTACAATGAACTTATGTTACAGATAATCAAAAAGTATGGTTCGAAATCCATTAATTTCATGCAGTTCAACTAGACATCAAATACTATACTGAATAAAAGAAAAATAGAGAGTCCCGGATAAAATACTAGCGTTAGTATTCCAGTCGTTTAAGTATCAGTCTAACACATTACGCCATTTCAGTTATGGAAGTCGTGGATGCTTATTAAACGTTATGTTCAACGTGTATAACGTTTTCTGAATCAAGTGACTTGGTGGTCAACGTGTTCTATTATCTGCATTTATATTTTTGTCATGTTATATTTATTCGTCTCATTGTATTTTCACGGGAAACATTTCATGTTTCAATATAAAGAGTAGCATAGCATCGGCTGCTAAATGTATGTATTTCAAGATAACTAGTCTGTGACCGTATATGTCTAGAATACAATACACGAGAAGTAACACTGTTTCTGTAGCTAAATACGCACAGACTCGGCAATGACTTTTAAATATTCATCATATAAGTGCATCCGCACTATCGTGAAGCGCCGGTAGATTTTGAGTTTTATGTTGTAGAATAGTCTATTTAATTTAATTAAATTCAGTTTTGAGGTAATTAGGTTTAAGAATATTCGGAAAGAATTATTAATTGAAAGTATTTTATTATACTGTAATGATGAAGTCATTGTACAAGAAGAGTATTGTAAGATCACCCTTATGTCCATATTTTAACTGAATTTATGAATGGTGTACGCTATGAACAGGATTGACATTCACTGAGCACAATGTTGTAAGTGACCATGGAGCTTATACTATGGTACCTTAATGAGTCCACTGTAAAATAACTTATTATCGTTTCTTAACTATTGATTTGAATATATAAATGCTTTACTAGTTAATTGCTCATTATGATGACTTAACTATGAAATAGAATACTGAGATGCTGTTGAATGTATGTTTGTTGCCTTTTGATGTCATATATAATAAAGATTCCTGCATTTCGCCTGAGAACCTCTCTGTCTGTTTTTGAAGGCGTGGAGATCCCGGAGTTAATTCCCTGCAACAATTCTAGGTATAAACGGTCCTTTAAAACCGACTGTTTCAATAGCGAGAGCGCTGATGACTCTAGTCGTGGCAAGGCAACAATAGCACGTTAGCTGTCCCCCGTCATTGTTCGTCAGTGGATTATTTCCGAATTTAATGGCAGAGCCCCGAAACACTCGTTACCCAATATCAGCTCACCAAATGGACGACGTTTACACTCACTACAGTTTCACTATGATATTCATGTACAAGTATGCTGCATTTTGTGTCTCTATGAGGTGATGGGTTAATTCCATTTACTTCAGGGGGCACGGATGGCCCAGTCGTCTAAGGCGCCGCGATTCGCTGCGCAGATTTGCGGCCCTTGGAATACTGTTAAAGTTGGGTTTAACGCCGCTTTTAACAGTATTCCAGTTATATCGCGGCGTGTCAGCTTAATGTGGGAGGAAAGCCCGAAGTAAAGCAGGTCTCAGACGTTTACCACTTCGGTGAAACCCACAAGCACGGTTATGGTGCTGACAAACCTAGAATTATAATCGGGGCGAACCGGGATTCGAACCCACAATCATAGGTTTCTGGCGTGCCCAAGGGACGCAACTCTGCACAGCGAATCGCGGCGCCTAAGACGACTGGGCCACCCTTGCCCCCTAGCAATGAGAAATTGACACACATGTGATGTTGCATGGCTATACACTGACAATATCTCTCATTTCAGCAGTCAATAACAGCGACAAATAATATCAGACATCCATGTGAAAAGCAGAGTCGACTGCGCAATTCCGACTACTTCATGACCACGTGTCCACGCATCACTATCAAACATCACCAGGTACTCGCGAAAAGGCGAGAGCGTGCCACGGTGCCACGTGCCCCAAACACATGCAAAAGCAAGCCAGTTCTTCATCCGAAAAGACACGGGAACACGCGGTACGAGACAAAATAGGCAATGGCATTTGTCATCATTTTGATCACTGATTCGTGAAATCTGGAAATGTCGTCGAAGAGTCCACCACAAAACCTTTTGAAAGCCCCACCAAGTCCCCGAATGCTGTTATAGCCCATGTTATCTGGTACAGTAAACTACGTTTATAACGAACACGCTTATAACGAACTGACGGATATAACGAACTGCTTTTTGG